GAGTGGTAGAGTCCTACACTCAAAAACAAAAGGTTGCAGATTAAAATATAGGGAGTCACCAACCCTGGGATTAGCTATGACTGACTGACTGCAGCCAACAAGCCAGGAATGGCCACTCCTGTCTCAATGGTCTTTGCTACTTCCACATCATCACTTTTCATTATTCATTGAGCGAAGTGTAATTTCCCCTCCTTAACCGGTTCAATGAAATTCCTCTTTACATGACTGTAACTATTAACGCAAAAATTCTGGCTGGGTAGAATTTCATTTTGATCTATATTTCCCTTTCATGCAAAATTCAAATTAAAAAAATATATTAAGATCTCCGGATTGGTTGTTATGCTATCCAAAAACGTCGTGCTAATCAGAAGTTGATCCAAAAACTGTAAGTACGAAAGCTCAGAAGCAACGTCCATGCGCAACTGCGAATTATCTGTGGTAAGCTGGACTATGTCTGCTCTTTCACGGTAAAGCATATCAATGTGTTTCGTTATGGATTTTTTTGCCAGTTGTTATTTATATATGAAGTCAAGGGGAGAGAAACATTTCCCTAATACTATTAATCCACTTCATTGTTCGTCTTTTTATTAACAGCATATGTAGCTTTAATGTATCCTTTCTAGCGATTGACCTTTTGTTTTCGTGCGACAGGCAACTTTCACATTGACGTCCGCTCTCATTCCCATGTATATGAGTGAGTCAACGATATTCATATAATTATTTTTTAAAGAAGTTTTATGTCGTAACAGTGGTTTAGCCTGATATATACTACTGAAGAAAGGTAGCAAGACCGTCAAATTTTCTCAAATTCCCTTGTAATAACGCATTATAATATGAACTCTCAGCCTTATATCCGATGCTTTCCCGATTCTGACCGGATCGTTTCACTGAAACAGAGAATATGGACACTCTTCTTAAAGTTCCTACTGATATTGTTCCTTTTTTAGCTTTATGTGGAAGAAGCGTTTCCGCATGCGAATGAATAAACAAGTATACCTTCTCAAACATAACCTGATTAAAACTTTAACTTTCACCGAAGGAAAGGCGCGAACTTTCGTCGTTTACGTTTGAACCATTTTGCTGTAGAATCTAAAGAGGTATTTTATTATTACACAGTAGTCTTTCTAGTCTGTTAGTTATTTAGTCGTAATCAATTAATTAGTGGTATGAATTCTATTATTAAATATTTTTCTAAAATGCTTGGTATTTGCTTCGGATTTATTGATTTGCCTTTCCACATATATGTAAAATTTGGACTTGAATTCAAGTCCAAATTTTACATATATGTGGAAAGGCAAATCAATAAATCTGAAGCAAATACCAAGCACCAGGGGGCTCACAATACTTAAGTATTGTGAGCCCCCTGGTTAGGAACCACCACTGAGTAAGCCTGTAGTTATTTTTTATAGTTTTCTAGTTACATGTTCCTTTGGCCGCCACGTCTTTCCAATTTTCCATGTTTATTGGTGCTTTTGTCTATTAATAGACAAAACTTTCAAGGAAAAAAACCCTTGTGACTAGTAAGTAACGACTTTCTTAACAGCCGAATAATTTTGACCAACCCGCAATTCCCTTCGGCTTCTGGTACTGACTGTTAAAGCTGGATTATTTTTTCATTGATAGGACTTGATGACGATACTGCCAACTGGGGTGTGGCAGCGTCGCGTTGTGTCTTCTTATCTTCCAGAGTTCTGCCATAATGTTCTTACGATATTCAGTTCAGGATATTGTGCTTCCTATTCTCTTTCTTCCTCGTCTCAGTCCTCTAACTCCTCCCGTGTGTAATTTCAGTCCGTCAATGAACTCTGGCTCCGGACGTTCGCTGCCGTCACCCCCACCTTATGCTGCACGGCACACAATCATTAATGTGGGCTCAACCAATCAGCCAGGGCCTAAACCCACTTCACCGCCGGCCGATCCACTTGAGGGCATTCGCACGCGCTCCAGTCTTAACATCGTCTTCTCTCCCCCACCTAGTTTAGGTGCCGGGGTCGGTGCTGGATCCAAACGGGTGCCCTCACCCACTTACACCCTACAGTCTCATTTTGACAAACAGTCAAAAAGCACTGCAGTTAGCCCACCACTGATTCGTTCCCCAGGCAGTCATCAAGAGGTGTTGCAAATTTATCGACCAGAACCCCAGAAAACAAGTACTCAAAGCCCACTTCAACCCATCGCCCCTCCGACCACGGACTTGAATGCGGGTAAATGTCTTTGAATGCCTCTAAGCCCACCGAGACACGGGGACTTCCCTTTAATTCCTCTTTAAACTTACGATATGTATTTAGGTAATTCGCATGAAATTTCTGTTAAATGATAGGGGAAAACT